AATGCTGTATCTGGCCGACGGCCGCTCGAGAAGAGGTGCGAGGTGACTGAGTTATCTGGATAATCGGTGGCTCGTTCTGCAACGGGAATACAACAGTATACAGTATACAGCTAGAGCAACAGCAACAGCAACAGCTAGAGCAAATGGCAAGTGGCATAAAACGTAGACATAGACATCAAAGTGAAGCAGAAGCACAAGTCTTTATGGGCAGCGCTTAATGGTGCACTTAACGCGCTGGCTGCTGTCTGGTCTAGGCTAGTCTCAGTCTCAATCTCAGTCTCAGTCTCAGTCTGTCTGTCTGTCCTAGTTGGTCCACTCTGTCCAGTTCTGCCCTGTTTGCCATTGAGCCGAGGCGCTAACTTGTGTTTGGCCACTTACGATTATCGAGGCACACAAGATCATAAAAATGATGTGTGGGACTCGAGCTAATGCTAATGTCATCCTTCTGCGAAATGGAGTCCTCCTCCGACAGTATACACTGTTTGCTTTGGTCATCAAACTCAACGGAACGGCAAAAGTACCTGAAAAAGTTTCTCCTTCGATTAGCCTAATGTACTTTTGAAGTATCGTGTGTGGTCTTCTTACTTCTCGGCGCGCAAGCACATAGTCTGGCACTCCTCCAGCGTCATATTATTGAAGATATCCACCTCAAACGGACCGCCCAGGCGCTTATTCTCCTCCTTAACAAACACGGCCAGTCCATCGCAGCGTCGCTCAGCTACAAATGAGAGAATTTAATTCTAGATCACTTTGCTAGCTAAATTGTATGCGCTTGCCATTTAAGCACGTATTCTCCAGATAGTCCGAGTTGGGATCATCCTCCATCAGCTCTGGATGTGTGCGTCGCGTGAAGCGACTGAGCGTACAGGAGCGCATCGTCGAATCAAAGTTAGCCGAGCGACACACAAATGAGAACTCATTCAGACACTTGTCCTCGCAGTCCGAACGATTAGCGGCTGTTATCTGAGGAAACAATATAATTATAGCATATTAGAGTGGAGAAATAAATCTCCTCTTCTCCTGTGTTAGAGTGAAGACGTAGCACTGCTTATCTCCTTTAGTTTAATCGATGTGGATAAACCGTTCTTCTTTTGCTTTTAGAAAGTCTAGGCAGCAAATCTCTATTCTCTATTAACTCTTAGTTGAGGTAGATAATTCGTTCTTCTTCTACGAATCGACCTCTAACTGTTCTATTATTGGCCCAGTAGATAATCAGTACATAGAACTTAAGATAGAGGAATCTCCTTTTCTATTCTCTTGACTCAGAGAAACTGCTTGTTAAATTGGAGTAATCTGCTTCACTGCATCCCTGACCTCGCAATTCAGATTAAAGTAACACCTTCGCTGATCCCTCACTCACCTCCTTGATGTCGCTGATGGGCAGTTTCAATTTCTTGCGCGGATGTCGCTCGAATACATATCGTCGACTGGGACACTCACGCTCGGGGCGGCTGGCTGCAATTAGTCGGATGAAGAGAGCAATTTGAGCATGCCAATTGGAAACGGTGTCAACACCCACACACACACACACGCAGACAAACACACTCACATGTCAGACAGATCTCGTTAAAGTGCACACTATTCGGCACCAGCATCAGGCTGCCAATGCCCTCCGGTCCAGCCTGCTCGGAGGTGAGGTAGCAGAGGGACTCCTCGTATTCGGAGGTGCCACCGAACGAGGTGATCCGACTGCCTGGCTGGAAGTCAAAGCTGGTACAAGTGCGCACTAGATTGTTGGTGCCGGTGCGATCGCGCAGACATAGATCCTGACACTTCTCCAGCACGCGGAATGGTGGTGCAGTGTCTCGCACCACATCGTCATCGTAGCCCTGCAGCTGTTGATTGGGCAGGCGCTCATAGAGCACACGACCCAGTCCGTTCTTGCAGGTGGTTTGAGCTGGGAGCGAGGCAAGACGGCTTAGAGCAATACTGAGCGAGGAATCTCTAGTACTTACCATAGCTCTGGCTCAAGGCAAGGCAAGCCAGCGTAGCTATTAATATTAAGCGCAATTCCATGTCGCTCTAGAACTCAATGTACACTATCCAAAAGTTTATCGCGGCATCATTAGCAGCAGAGCACATTCAGTGGGCGATCGCGTGTTCTAGAATTGCTATATATGTATAATTCAATAATGAGTATTTATCAAATGTGGTCGAATCAGTTCGTAGGCTGACCAATTTACGGCTCGACCTCAATAAGTCACTAAAAATTTCACCAGTGCCACCAAATCCAACCCCACCCCTCCCCCACAATTGGAATTAGAACTAAAAAACAAACATAGTCATATGAATAGTTAAATATTTCTAAGTACAGCACCATAATGTGCACAATGCGTAACGCCAAATTGGATCATTAAACGAATAGCCGAACAATGCTACGTGTAGCTTTGCTCATATCGATCCACAACTCCGGATGTTGCTTCCGGCTCTTTGTACCACTCGGCTCTATTTATGCTTAACACAATACAAATCCAGTTTTTAGCTTTTAGTTCTGAATTTTTTCCATTTTGTTTTTTTGCTGAAAAGGAAAACTCACTAAGCTGTCGCATTGACCTCAAAGGGGTTTTTAGAGTGATTCGGCTGTATCATGGACACATTTATTTGTTCATGTGATGAAATTTTAGAAATGGTTTTGTCTTTGTTGCATGTGAAAGCGAAAAGCTAGGGATTCGAATTTCCTTGATTCTCTGATTACTATGATTGAACACTTTGAAGCCTACATAAATTATGTGTATAATGTACACGTAATAAATAATATATTTAGTAGTCGAAATTTTTCGTGAATTATTTGTTGGTTAATTTTGTTTTCTATTGTATTATTTATTTATTTGATTTTTCTTTATTCTTGTGCTTCTTTCTAAGTTTATTTATTTGATTTTTTTTATATTTTATTATTTTTCGATTTCACATTTTCCCATTTAGTATTACATTGATTATTTACTTATATTTTAATTCATGTAATTTTTTTTAAAATATTTTTTTTTATAGTTTTAAAAAATATAATTTCTTATTTTTTGTGATAAAAATTTCATGTTAGTTTCTACAGCAAAAATATTTTCCTGTTTCACATCTTTTTCAATTATTATTTTTATTCATTTATTTAATATCAATTCTCTTCACAAAGTTTGTGCACAGGATCTAAAATAAAACATATTTGTTAGATTTATCACATTAGTTTTAGGGACATTGAATTTCTCTTATAGCTAAAATAGTACGGAAATTTCTTTATAAATATCACAAGTCCCTGATCCTTAGCAGATCCTTGAGCACATAATTTTCATTTTGACTTTCAAACAAAATTTTTTACACACACCTTGATTTTGATCGAAAAGGACCTTGGAATGCTTTCAATCTTTTATTTAATAAATCACTTAACACTTAATCAGAGTTTAACTCCGGGCGACGCTCGATCAAAAAACTCGACCGATCGTTAGAATTATTTGCGACAAACTAAATGCGTTGGCCGCTGGGCAGACTTTTGAGCTCTGTCGCTCTGGCTCTGGCTCTGGGTCTGGCGTTGGGCTGTGGCTGCGGCTGCAATTGGATCGGTACATTACCTCAATGTACCATTAACATTAGCCGGCGGCCGCCGCGGCGGTCGGGGGTGGCAGCAGCAACTCCGCGACCAACAATGGATCCAAAGAGGAATTAATTAGATGTGGAGACAACAACAACAACAGTAAAAGCTACAAAAAATATAAAGCGAACATAAAGTTCGAAATAATTTTGTTTTTGTAAATTTCAATTCAAATGTTAATCAGCGCACAAAACTCCATCGGAGCCGAGTTGACAATGGACACACACGCACACCATCTCTATACAGACTTGCTTGGGTGTGTTGTGTCTGCGTGCAGGTGTGAGTGCTGTGTGCGTCGCTGTTCTGCCTCGATACAGCAAATCGTTCTGGCCCAATGTACAGGGCGCACATTGAACGCTAACCATAATGACACCTGTGGGCGTAGCAGACACAGACACACACATGTAAATTGTATATATACTATATATGCTGCCAAATTCATGAACAACATTCGGGTTCAACTACTTTCCCAGCCTGTGTGAAGGGCAAGCGCGCTGCTCCAAAAGCCAACAGCTAAACGTTTGCTGCGCCCGCGTCTCATTGTCCGCCAGAATCGAAGCTGTATATATACATATACATATATAGAGTTGATTGTAGATTCTGAATGTGAATGTGAATGCGCTTCACGTCTGAATAAGTTCGAGGCTGGAGAGACACGCCACACACACTCTCTCAGCCCATCAGCGGTCATCGTCAATTGCAGAATTATTTAAATATTATGCGCTTTGCAGCTAGCACCTGTGTGGGGTGTGTGTGTGTCCGTGGTGTATGTTTAAGTGGGCGCGGCTTGAGCTTTAATGAGCCAAGGGCGTGGCATGTCATGCAAATGCATTTGCAGCACTTCAAGCCCTTCCACTTAGCAATAAATTGGTTATTGTTGAATTTACTGGGCACTTTACAATGAGCCTGAGTAGCTGGTAAATAATGTCACAAAAGAGACGCAGACTTTTCTGCTTTCCAATAAAAAAAACAGTTACACGGTCCATTAAATTAAAGTAAATTTGATAGCCAACTTATTGTAACCTTTACCGTGTGGTTAAGCAGCCGTTAAATTCCCTCATCTCGGTTAACTGGCTCCTTAACCACTTGTCAAGCTTGATCTTCGTCTGTTTTCAAGCACAGTGTCAAATCAGATTTGCTTCTCTTCAAATTGACTGTCCGATTGAGTTGCCTGTCGTGCAACTAATCTGCATGTCAAATATGTTACCAGGCACTTGGCCAACTTCTTGCATCCACTTCTTGCTGTCAATTAAAGGTGTTGGCCTTGTCATAATTGAAAATTACTTAAATGTTAGATAGAAAACTAGTACAACTACTTTTATCGAGACTCTACGACTGGTAGATACCTCGTATACCTCGATTCGACTATCGTTTAATACATATTCGCGCATATAAATATATAATAAAAGTACATTTCGTAATATCCATTAATCTCAAGGCTCTTACATGGCTTCTCGCAGCAATGCCAAAATTCTATAGCACTGCTGAAGTATCTGTAGAGGAGAAAATATCTATATAATGCTGAAGGTATTTATGAGTAAAACTTACAAGCGAGTAGGTGGTCAGGGTAAAGGGCGGAAATGGCCTGGCCTCATAGAGCAGAGGTTTCTGCGAACGGCTGATCATAAAGAGGATATTACGTTGTATAAAAATTGACTTGGTATGCCAGTCCTTTAGCTCAAAAGCAGCCTGAGCCACATCCATTGACTAATGATATGCATGATGATAATAATATAATATACTGTGTACAGAGATAGAGTGAGAGCCCACCTGGGTAGAGACGAGAGTGCCAGCGAGGCACCAATAGGACAACTGCACAAAGGTGACAAACATGAAGATGAGAAACTTGGCAGCTACCTTCGGATCACTCGCAGCTGCCATGGCCTCAAAGGTGGACATCGAAATCAGGGCAAAGCTGGCGATCATTTGAGCTATGAAAGAGCCATGGAACAGCTGATTGTTCTTCTGGACGGTGCTGCGAAAGGGAGTTAGGAAGGAAATCTGATATGCTTACCCACTATATATTACCACCTTACCTTATTAAGTGCTGATGGTATTGAATGATCCTACGAAACTCGGCATGAAATTCCGAATCGGTCAAGTGCAACTTGCCCAACTTTTGCATCTCCAGGCAGAGTATCTTCAGATTGAGAGCCGTGTGGAGGATGCTGTGTATGCCCACGGCGTCAACCTGGCAGATGGACAACAGGTTGAACTGTGAGGTGAGCGACTGCCATATGTAGATGAGCATGTGCGAGCGCGGATGCTCTGCGGAGCTGTGCCAGCCAAAGGGGAACACCGCATGGTAGGGCAAATCGCGATCTGAAAACAACGGCTGAACGCAAATGGCCACGTTGAAGACGAACATGAAGCTAGTTAGAGTTATCCACATGGTCGTTTCGATCAGGTAGCACAAGCGCTGCCAGCGTCGTATTTCCACATTTTCCGTTTCGACTGCAGCTGGCTGGAAGCCTTGGGCTGGCCTAAAGCAGCTTTCGTAATAATTTAGGTTCTCAATGACTTCATCGATTTCGTTGGCTCGCCAATAGAAGTACAAGTTCTTGGTCACAATCAGCGTTATCTGTGGGGGGCAGTGGACGACACAGTTATGTGGCAGATAAAGTTCGTATTGGCTTGGCTAACCCCAATCATCCAGGCCATATCGTCGCCCATATCAACGACATTCGTCGACTCGTGTAAGGCGAACATAATCGGCAGCAGCAGAGATGCCGAATTGAGCAAGAGTAGGCGATTGCAGCGCTTGTAGTTGCTGTGTTTGGCCAGCAGGCAGCGATTCGGATAGAGGCCCAAGATGCTGGAAAATGCAACGAATTAGTTCAAATTGTTTCGTCTCGTTTTTTGGCCAACACTTTGAGCCATAATTTCGATTTAGCCATACACCAAAAACGCACGATTGTAGTTCAAGGCGAGGCGTGGCGGCCGCTGCGATTTCTGCCTCAAAACCGTTCGATATTCGGCAAAGAAGCCGCGCAGCAGGCCAAGATATGACTTGAAATCCCCCTTGGCCATCGTGTCTGAGCGCTATCTAACTGTGTCTAGCCGCCGAACCTCTCAGCGGCAATTGAGCTCGGCTCTATCTATATCTCTGCCTTATATATGTGCCAATTGATTGGCCATGCAGGATTCCAATTACAATATTTACGAGTTGGTTACGCCGTTTAGCAAACAAGACCTATGATTAGCAACACATGCCGCAAATCGCAATCAGCTCTTGCATCTGACTAGCAGAAGCCTTACGCCTCAAGGAAATTGCAAGTAATTGCATTGAGCCACCGACAGATGCAAAAGGCTCTTCAGTTAGTCAAGGCTTCTTTTAATTACTCCTTTAATTGTGGGAGCCAAATGATTAATGATGGCGCAATTGTAAACCGTTTTTCACTGCGAAATCGATTCAAGCTGATGATAGATAAGCGATCCTTAACATAGATTAAGTGCGTTCAGGGCAATTATATGTATAGCAGTTCAGTTTTAATTGATGTCCCAACTGTTGTAGAAGGGGTATTGTGCGGGTCTAAGGTCTATTGAGCGCTTAAGGTGGAAGTACAAGTGGATTCTCGTATGTATATACAAATTTCAATTCATATTCCCTTATAATGAGATTTTCCTTATCTTAACTAAGATAATGATTTAATTCAGAAAATTGGTTGTGTTCCTTCGTATAGATCGCCTATTATTTAATTCGAAGAAAAGATATAATAATGGTTTCCTGATTAAATGCCCTGTCAAAATCAACGAGATACGATAACTCAAATGAAAAAGATCTTTAACTCGTTTAGATATTGTTTATATATATTATACTATAAAAGATTAAATGGTATTTTCAGCAGCTCTTATAAGAATAGCTGCAAGATATTTCGTTTAGCTAATACACCTCACTAGCTCCATGGGCTTAGTGATTGATTACGCATCAGTTAAATAATTTCATATAATGATGCATATAGAACTATTAAAGTATGTGAAGCGCTCCAGTACTAAAATGATATATCTATCATATCATATATACGTATATAAACTATATTATATGATATATGTTAGACAGCCAAGCATATAAAAGCGTGCAATGAACCCGCTCAATGAATAGTTGGCTGGACATTTTTCGCGTGACTTGGAAACCCATTAGATCACCAGCATCATTAACTGACAATAAAAAGAGACAGACAGAACAAAAAAAGAAAAAATAAATGATATCAACTAAAATTCATGTTAAATTTTATTTATTCACAATTTTTGAAGCGTATAGCAAAACATGCGCGAAACCAGAAAATAAAGTAATAAAATATAATATAAAATAAAATAAATAAATAAATAGAAACGAGTTCAATCAACTTGCCACCCCGTGGCGGACAGCTCATAAACTTTGGCACTTCCGCTGCGAGGCTCGAACTGCGTCTTCTTCTTCTGCTTTCCATAAGCTTTATGATTTCATAAATAACGAAATTTGTTTAAATAACATATATATATGCATTGCGATATGATTGATGACTTAATTTGCGACTGTCGCGAAATATGAAAAAAGAGAAAAACCCGCTTTGCCGGAGATTTAAAGCAAGTTTTCTTTAGTGTAGGAAAAGGAGTTTTTTTTCTCTCTTTTCTGTTATTTATAGTCAGGATTGTCGCGTGTTTCAGTTTACGTACAGGTTTGTACAGGTTCTTAAACGAGTTGCAGGCGTCTAACGGAGCGCTCAAATGACCAGCCAAAATAGCAATAGACCTCGTCGATGGCCGTTGAATGTGTTTGTCTAGCGGCAGCTACTCCCAGGTGTTGTCATAAAAATTCAGAGGAAGAGACCGAACTGTGCAGCGGACTAAAGTTTACTCCACTTGGGGATTAGAGATTAGGTAATGCCTGAACTGAACGTAAAGATTTGTTTCTTCATTCGAGAAGAAGTTGATCTTTGATGTATTTAATCACATATGTATATAGAGACTACTCTACGTTGGGTATGCTATCGATATTTATCGATTTGAAAGGTCAAGCCCTAATCCATCTCTCAGACATTACCTTTACTAAGGCAGTCTAATTTCAATTTCCAGTCATCAGTACATCATGCTCAATTGAAACTAAATACAGGGTATATTTATTATGCTGCAATATTAGCTGTAAGTTCGCATAACACGCGCCAATGGACGCGAGACTGTTGACTCCTACAGCTTGAGGGGTAAATAATAAACTGTTTTAGTTAACATTGACCAGGCCTAACAATTTAATGGCCTCATAATGGTAGCGGCATTAAACCAAATTGATATCAATTTAACAACAATATATGCACAAGTGCAGAGCACATCGTTAGCCTGGCGGCCGCAACAAATGCGCCAGCAACAATTGCTACTACAGCAACAGCAACAAACAATTGCAGCAGCAGCATTGAACTCTTCACTGAGCTGCAAGCGGGATTGAGGCACAGACACACACACACACACACACACAGAGACTGCAGACACTCATCGCATACACGCACACTTGGAGCTGGATATACTGGCCATGCATCTGTTTCGATAGAGCCAATAACAGTATAGACCAGTTCCGAGTTGGCAAAGCGCCGTTTGATGCTCTAATTTATACAGCATACTGATGAGCAGTTGACCGCTCTGCCACAGAATTGTACTCAAAGGCGGCTTCGCGCGTCTAGCCACGAAAATGTGGCAACAACGACTGGGAAATGCAGCAGTTGCACGCCAGACAAACAACTGCCAAATGCTCGTTCACTAATCAAAAGTAAAGCTAAGTTGATCTTTAGCAAAGGTCTAGAAGAAATTGAAGAAAGAAACTGTTCAGTAATCCATTTCCAATAACTGTAAATATCTAAGACAATATATGATCTATCTTTAAAAGCGGATCTTCAAAGGAGACAATTCTAATCGTATATTTAAATATGATCAAGGAATGTGTATAGTGATCCATCTTCAACATTTAATGAAAGTTAAATAATCTCTATATATTGCTTCATTCATTGATTAAGGAACCTCTATGTTTGGTCATCCCGGTCTAAAGAAGATAACAAGCGAATTTCATGATTGATATACTCCCCATCTAAGTCTTTACCCCCCAAATAACTTTATCCAAGTTGTCCTTCATTTAGTTCGCAGCAAAATTACTATAAAAGCCGATATACCCCTTTACATGCAGGTCGAGCGCGCATAACAAGCGGTTCTTAGCGATGCAGCAGAAGTTTAGCTGCGGCTGCCACTTGACCAGCTCGCACAAATGGAAATATTTGTAGCGGTTAGCGTTTAATTGAAATGCATTTGGCTTGTTGGCTGTCAATCAAGCGACATTGCAGCAGTCGAGCAAACGGCATGCCACATGCAGCCACATGCAACCAACAAGGAGTCAGACTGGGCAGAGCCACTCAGTGGGTTGCCTGCCTGACCAATGCCCTGGCTAATGGAAGTGCTGTACAATTGGCGACCTTCTCCCGAGTCGGGCAGCAGCAGCAGCAGCAGTTCCAGCAGCAGCAGTTGCCCCCATCATACGCTGCAGTGGCATCCACAATCCGTTATGGTCAGCATCCATGTGTGAGTTTTATGTGTGGCCACCGTATGGGGTGCTGCCTCTTGAGCTGTTTATCGCACATTTGTCTGCTCGCTGTTGTCCAGTTTTATGATGATCTGATAATTAAGCCTGATAACTGACTCAAGTCTTATTTCATATTCAATCGAGCGAGTTAAAGCAGGTTTCACGGCACTTATTATCGAAGCTCTGCCTCTGATTGCGTCCTCAATGGTCTTTAAATTTTTATCTCTTTTTTATTCGTGTGACTTTTTCGCTGTGGTGGGCATGTCAATTGACTTGCTATTTTAATTGCACAGGATATGGCTTAGGCAAGACATTATGGCATTTATGATATGAGGAGGACATTAATGAACGTATGAGATATGGAGGCAGGTGCATAGAAGGGCTTGATAATAAAAGTGGAGATAGTTAATGCAGAAGCTCTTTTTGGTTAATATATATAGAGGATCTATGATCATCACATCATTCATCTCCGATTTTCCTACTCGCTGATCTACTCTACAATAAATAGATACCATAGACGTACGTGGAACAGATCTTTCCTGGACATCACATATTCTACCAGGCATATGATCGTCATCTAATTTCAAGTTCACCCAAAACTTGATCCCATTTAATATATGACCCACATTTCAAAGACTTTGATTAATTGAGAGCACATTCCAGTGATTGCATCACATGCTCTAGACTTTGCATAGCTGATCCACTATACGTAATATATGGGATCGCATTAACTGGCCCGACAACTCCCCCATCATACGTAATTGTCTTGTAGCTTCACGTGTAGCTCGTCTTGTACCGTTACGGACCCCATGCCGATTCTCGCAATGCGCAGCTCATATAAAGCACATTTTCATGTTTATTGCGGCGGCACATCGAGGCAATTGATAATAAGATTTCGGCCTCACATACAAAGAAGACGGAGGAGAAAATCCTCGCAAGAAACGAAGAAAATACTGGACCAATGCAAACATTTTTCAAGCGTTATTTATGAATGCAACTGTAGTTGCGAGCATCTCGCAGTGCACGTCGCAAGTTTGTTTAGCTACAGTAACAAGAGCAATAACAGCAACAACGGCAACAACGGCAACAACAACTGCAACAAGTGAATCAATAACAAGGCTGACTGCCTGCCAGGGCCAGAGAGCAGGCGGGTAGAGGCGAACGGGTTTGCGCCTCGACGACATCGACGGATCAGACGGGCACACCGCGACTGGACCGCCTGTCCAGCCAGTGCCTGTCCGCCGCCTGGACGATGCGAGACGTGTGTACAAAGTTTGCATAAGCTGTACTAGCCTACAGACGGCGCTGCTGCTGCTCCCGATGCTGCCTGTGTTTCATACTCGCATGAATTGTGCGAGGAAGAGTATATGTGGGAGAGGTAGAGGCAGAATAAGAGATCCCGATTAAGTAAATTGTAATGTTTCACCATTTTGACACTCTTATCAGATTAGCTAGTGATCCACTATGATAAAACATTTTTACTACGGTTAGCAATTAGTCAGAGTCCGTATCAAAGA